ATCTCCTTATTCTTGGTGGCCGTAAACTCCATAAATCCATCCAATGTGTGAGTTTTTCCTCCATCATCTAGTTAGACATAAGAAGCACTTGATTCAAGACATCTAAACATCATCTAACTACATAACTCCAAGAGTTTACGGCCATAAACTCTTTGTTATGGCCGTAAACCCTTGTTTTGGGCATGTTTTGGCCATGAACACTCCTTAAGACCAAGCATAGGGCCTTGAACCAGTGATAGATGCTAGTTATGGCCGTAAACACCTCTTAAACTCAACTACTCTTGGCCGTAAACCCACCCTATGGTCGTAAACTCCTAGGGAGTGGTCGTAAACTACTTTTATACAATCATATGTGATTGTAACACTTCATGTCAAGTGTTTCCTAGTCCCTGAGGTTGTTCCATTACATAATTAGGTGTTACATACACTAATTATATACATATATGTGTTATTATATGCTTAATAGGCTCTGTTTGTGCTCGGGATATCACCTGGCACACTTAGCATTCTATAACAGTCTTTCATCCGAATCACTCACTGCAGGTGAGTTCATACCCCTTAACTTACCTTTTAAATGATTTTAAATACTTTTATTGGGGGGGGGGGGAATACAAGTAGAAAACATGGTACTTATATAATCAATCACAAGTGATTTTTTAATACAAAGTAAAGAATTCCATATATTTCAAATATGTTATCAAAGAAACTGCTTTAAGTCACTTTATAAACAGATATCAAGTCTTTTATGCTTTCTAAATATTAAACTCTTTTCATATTTCACAAAACTCCTTTTCTAAACTTAGAAATATTATCAAGAGCATGTCTATGTAGATATAGTTATATAAATAATGTTTAAAGGGCTTAGGACTAACAACTCGCTTTACTTCCTTTTCCTTGTTTGGATGTGGACTTACAGTATTTGTTGTCGGTCCGAAGGTCATTTAAATCTTAGTTATATATTATGTATATGAATGTAGATATAGAAAGTACTACCAATCAGTTGGATGCCTTTGGGTAGCAAAGGTATACATTCATGATCATTCATTCAAACTACAGAAGTTACTAGTAAACCATAATAGGTATACTTTAGAGAATTACTGGTTACTATTTCTAGAACATTGAAACTTACATAATTCAGTACTTACATGACTCAATTTTTACATGAGTCAGTCCAAAAAAATGATAACAAGTACAGAAAGGAACATGCATCCGTTTCAAGAACAAGATAGCTTTAATGTGAGTCTACTTCATGGCACAACAACAAGTTTGTTGTGTCACATTTTGTAACCATAGTCTTCTGGAGGGAGAGCGGACATTGTGTGTATAGATCTATACGGGACTGACAAGCCCGCATCCTAACAGTTCGCTACAGTTGGCTGAAAGGTTAAGGGTGACAAATGTCACATTTACTTTTGGCACCAGAGGGTCATCGTGTTAACTACTTGTCGATTTAGCATGTTTATAACCACATCACATCCAAACCTTAATTAACAAACTGGTTTTTAAGGTAATTAGTGTTTCAGTAGGTAATTTTGAAAACATTACTGTACACTTTGATTTTTCTCATTTCATTTATATAGTGATATTCTCACATAAAAGGTAATGAAACTACTTTCTAGAAAAGATAGTGTTAAACATCGGGAAAACACACAATACATACTATTTCAAGTACAAACATACAAAACAGTCGGGTCTTGGTAGAAGACTGTATTATATCATTTTAAGAGAAACAAAAATTCAAAACAATTAGTCTTGGTAGAAGACTGCTTTCCATATTAGGAAAAAATATAGGATTTTCTAGGAGATTTCAAACGCATACAAACACTTTCACAAACTTTTACATCAAACATTTACAAACAATTATCATTAAAATACTTATGAACTCACCAGCTTAAATGTTGATCCTCTCTTATAAAATAACTTGTATTTTCAGGTCACCCATAGATAGGTATCGATGATAGGTTTTGAGAAGACGGAGCACTTCCAAACTCGTCTTTATTTTGATTTTAACTTTTTGGTTTCTTATTACTATCTTTGCATATAACACACTTGTATGAAATTATATTATTAATGCAATGGATGATGTTGTTGCTTGTTTACTATTATGCATTGTTATAATACTGTACATGACATCCTCTGCCCCCGAATGTTTTCGCCAATTCGGTTTGGGGTTGTAACACATCGCCGCATCAGTCCAGAGAAAACACTACTCGTCCCTATTTCCCCATTTTGTATGTGTGTGAGCCTAAAGAGTGTCTTTGGTATTTTTCTTGAAGAAGTGTGAAGTTGGTGGTGCAAGATAGAAGGGAGAAGATTTAGATCCGATATTTTCAATGTTGTTGCAAACATTTGGAGGTATGAAGTCAATACCTTGACTATTTATTTCCTAGATCTCTTCTTTGAGAAGCTTATGTCCTTTAGTATCTTGTTTTGGAGTCATTCATGGATTTGAGCGTATTATGAAGTTATGACTTCAGATCCGGACACTTCATGGCCATTGAGACGTAAAGTTGTCACCTTTATCAAGTATTGGCCCTCCTCCATGCCCTAGGTCCCTTATGAAGCTTAGTTTTATTCTTTGGCCTCTTGATACCACACATGCACGTAAATTTAGCAACTTTATGTGGTATCTCAGCCTAAGGGGACGATATCTATGGTGTGGAGGTATTATGTTTACTTGGAAGTGGCTGAATGAATTGATACTAAGGAAAACTCAACGAGTTATTTATCCAACTCGGCGAGTTGGATCATGGTCCCCGACCTTTCTAAGTACTGAGCAAACTCAGTGAGTCGAAGAGATGACTCGGCGAGTTGGCTAGGGCTTTCTCGGTTTTCCCGAAGACAGAAGGAACTCGACGATTCCACAAGGGAACTCGACGAGTTGTACTGAGAAGTCTTGATTCTATTAAGAAGGAGTAACTTGGCGAGTTGGAGGAACACTCGACGAGTTGGATCCCGATTTCACGATTCTATGATTTATAGGAACTCAGCAAGTTGAGGAGTGAACTCGACGAGTTAAGTCAACTCGGAGCGTTGACTTTGACTTGGACCAAAGTTGACCCTTTAGGGGTTATGAGTATGAGAGGATCATTAAGGAAATCTTTTATTTGTAGGGGCTTCAGTTGGATTGATTTCGGAGCCAAGGATTTTTAGCTACTTGCAATATTCGAGGTGAGTTACCTTCAAGTAGAAGTGGGTCGAAGGCGCCAATGCCGGCTTACTTGTAGTTGTTTATAGTAGATGATTGTCTTTGTGATAATTTTATGGTATGCCACTATCTATTAGGATTTATGTGCTAGTATGCTATGTTGTTATGTAATAGTGGTAGGAGGGGTGGATTAGACTCGTAACCGGTTGAGATAAATCGAAGAGTAGGTCGGACACCTAGATATGCATGACAATATGGTTATGATATGTTATTACATGGTACTGGTAGATGGTGAAATAGACCCCGCAATCGGTTGAGATAAACCAGAGGGTAGGTCGGCACCCAGATATGCCTAGCAGGATAGGTCGGACACCCAGATATGCCTGACAGGGGTACGTCGGGCACCCAGATATGCCTGGCAGGATAGGTTAGGCACCCAGATATGCCTGACAGGGGTAGGCCGGGCACCCCAATAGGCCTGACATGGGTAGGTTGAGCACCCGGGTATGCTCCGCAGGGTAGGTCAGGCACCCAGTATGCCTGACAGTATGTTTATAGTATGGTATTTGGTATGATGGGGGAACTCACTAAACTTTGTGCTTACGGTTTTCAGTTTTGGTTTCAGGTACCTCTTCTTCGAAGGAAAAGGAACCGGTAGGATTGCAGCGTCTCACACCATGATTTCCGCACATGAGATTCTTGGGAGATATGATCTGATGATGTTTTATTGTGACATGTTTTGATTATTGACATTTTGGTTTTCTTATGGGATGACACGGTGGATGTTTTTATACTAATGGTTTTATAATTACTTATTTAAAATGAAATTTTTGGTTTTGAATTTTGTGATTTTATAGAATGAGAAACCCTAAATTTTTAGTGTCCTTAAAAATTTAGGTTGATATGTCTTGTGGCGTTGTGCCGCGACTTACTCTAAAGTTGCGTCGTGACTTACTACATGGCTCGCATTGCCAATGTCAAGTTTCCGCGCTATGACATTGTAAACTCCCACCTTTCGTGTTATTTCAGTTATCATAAAATCAACTCATAGTTGGATATCATAAGATGAAAAATCATGTAGAAGAAGCACAATCAATTTAAGAATATTTTAAGTTTAATTATTCTAGATTTGAATAATTAAAGAAATCTATAAGTATTTATGGGTTTTTATATTCAAAAAATTAATGTCGTTCAAATGAAATTGAGCATAAACCGTATAAAAATTACTATTATTTTTTTCTAATGACAATGTATCTAATGTGGATTCAAGTAATTTTTTTTTTTATATATATTTTAACATGTTGTAAATGACTTTGGCTAATAATATGGTGTTTGCTGTTGAAGTTTTGGAAATAATAGATTGTTAGCCCAATGTTTTTATTATATATAGCTTTTTTTAAGAATTTCTATTAATGCAGTATCTGTAAAAAGAATTTGTTTTTTTTTTTTTAAATTGAAATTATTGACCAATTACCTAAGTCATCAATGTCATAAAAAAATATACAATGGTTTGATAATATTATGTATAAACAAACATGTTTTAGATATAAGTGGGTTTAATGGTGTTATTAATGATTTTGCATCTAATAAAACTAGAATAAGTATTTTTCTTAAAATTAGTTATCTTTTATAAAGGTTGTCGTTACATTTGTTTTCATGATAATATTATTAATGAACTAGTTGAGTCACCCCGCTTTGCGGGGCCAGATATGTTTGTTTTAATATTTGAAGCGCGTGTAATGTTAGTAGAAACATATGAAACATTACGTAATTGAAACATATGAAATATTAAACATTAATTTACTGTTGTACATCTGTTTAACGTATGAAACATTAAACATTACATTAAACACTAATTTACCGTTGAACATATGTTTAGTAACATATGAAAATTGAACATTACGTAGTCGATACCCGAAACCTTAAACACATACGGACCACGACCATCATTTATTTCCTCATCAACATTAGCCCCAAAAGACGTCATAGCAAACATATTATTATAAGCCCTAATATCCCTCAAAAAACGATCGCTATGAGAAAGTGCAACATATTCAGGCGGGAAAGAAGAAGGATAAGGGAGAATAACATCACCAGACTTGCAACAATGACCATATCTAGGATGATGAGTTGTTGACAACTTTAGACTCCTTTCCTCAAACCAAAAATACGCTCCACAATATTCACAGACGCAATCACAATCGCTAAAATCAACATAATTTGGAAGAACAACAGCAGAACGCATCCGTGAAGAGAATCTAGGCCGCCGAAAAACCAGTGCAACACCAACAGCTGAAGAAGCAAGTGCAGCTCCAGAAGAGGAAGACCCAACAACACCATACCCCAATTTACATTTACCATACATAACGTAAAAATATATAGAATACAAAAGAAAGACACAAAAAAAGGGTAAATCCAAAAGAACGAAACGTAGAAGAGAAACTGGAAATCTTACCTCGACCTCACAGAAAGAAACAGAAAAGAAGAAAGAGCAGGTCAAAACGGAGAAGAAAAACAGGGATAAGAAACAATAAAGGGAAAAAAAATCAATTAAAAAAACCACCGGTAAAAACGTCATTAGATAGCAAAACAACAAAGCAACCCAAAATGAAACACATGGGACAAACGGAAAAAAAGTTTAAATAAACTGTCAAACAGCACCCAAAATATAGTCAATACAAAAAGCCCAAAATACATTCAATACAAAAAACGAAGGACCATTTGTGAAAAAAAAAACACCTGCACAAAGCAACCCAAAATGAAACACTTATATTGAATACAATACAAGAAACCAAGGACCATTTGTGAAAAAAAAAAAAAAAAAAAAAACACATGCGCAAATTAGTATCATCACATTCCTAAGGATTGTCCAACTTTATTTTATATATATATATATATATATATATATATATATATATATATATATATATATATATATATATATATAAAAGAATTAAGTAAATTATTTGTCTATTTTTGAGTTATTTTTATATTTGTGCCTATTGGGTTCTTTTTTTCGTGGCATGGGATCAAATTTTGTTTCGGCCGATCCTACTGACTTTTAAAATTATAATTAATTCTCTATGCAATTAAAATGAAAAATGTAAGAACTAATTATTGAAATCGTCCCTTAGTTTGCAAAAATTTTGTGGTTGGTCCCTAAGATTTTTTTTGGACTCGAATCATCCCTAAGATTTGATTTTGTTACGGTGTAAGTCTTTGTCTAATAAGAAATAACTATAATGCACTTAATATTTTATTTTTGACTTTTTAATTATTATTTCAATTAAAGAAAATGATTTTAGTGATTTATTGACAAGTAGGACTCACTTGCACTCCCACTTCGGCTCTACTCCTACCACTCCCACTCCCACAAGCAGTCATCGGCCACCATTAGTCACCTTCAACCGCCACTAACCACCGAAAAATAAATCCAAATTCTACAACCTCCGTTCAACAACCATAGTAAACCTCATTTATCGCCTGCATCACCTTCGGCCAACCCTCCTATTAATTTTGACAGCCACCCCGATTCTCCTCTACCAACCACCACCGTCACCATACTAGATCAAAACAAGTTAAACCAAAAGAAAAATCAAACCCTAAATAATTAGAACCAAAACGTGTAATCTGTGACAACCACCATAAGTCTTAAATTTTATGTTTTGAACTGAAAAGTTACGGACTTTTAATTGTTTGAATATGATAGTCTAATAAAAAAGTTAATTTGTTTAATTTAGCACGTTTGACATGTTTAGCAGGTCATGTGATCAAATTGTTAATTTTTCCAAAATAATGAGACTTTTCTGTAGATTTCGTCAAAATTTGTTTATAATGTATAAACTTGTTTTTTTACGTATTTATATCTATTTTTACGTATTAATGTATTTTTTTTTAAGTTTTTATATGTATATGTTCACATATTTTTAAGAATTTTGAAGTATATAACAATTTTTTAAAAGTATTTATATGTATTTTTAACCATTTTACACATTTTTTAATGTATTTTACGTGTTATTTTTTGACGTATTACGTATTTATATGTACTTTTACTATTTATGTATTTTTAAGTTTTTATATAGATGTTTATGTATTTTAAATGTATAAACATATTTTTTACATATTTTAATGTATTTTTAAATATTTAACATATTTTTTATGTATTTTTTTGTGTTTTTTTTATGATTTACGTATTTATATGTATTTTTACATATTTATGTATTTCTTAAAGTTTTTTATATAGATGTTTATGTATTTATATGTATTTTAAATGTATAAACATATTGTTTTACGTATTTATATGTACTTTTTAAAGTATATTACATATTTTTTTGTATATTTTTATGTGTTATTTATATATTATGTATTTATATGTATTTTTATTTATTTATGCATTTCTTTCTTATTTTTTATATAGATGTTTATGTATTTTTATGTATTTAAAAGTATAACCGTATTATTATTATGTATTTATGTATATTTTCACTTCAAGTTGTCTTCACCATTTTATCTAATTCACACAATTTCTTCGAGTATGTCTAGATGGTTTTCCTACATACATACATATATTAAGCTTTTTCCATACAATGTTTAATTTCAAGACATACTCGGGGAAATTATATGAATTTGATGAAATGATAAAGAAAATTTGAAGTAAAGAATATATAAATACGTAAAAGAAAATACAGTTATACATTTAAAATACATAAAAATAACTTTAAAAAATGCATAAATACGTAAAAATATATATAAATATGTTATACATAAATAAGCACATAAAAATACGTAAATATTTAAAAAAAATACATATAAATACGTAAAAAAATATGTTTATACACTTAAAATACATAAAAGTACATGACCATTTGTATTAAAAAAAAAAACCTTTAAAAAACACATAAATATGTAATAAATAAAAAATAAGACCTAAAAATAAATTAAAAATATGTAAAATACTTAAATATACATATAAACACGTAAAAAAATACGTTTATAAATTTAAAATACATAAAAAATGTAAACATATACATATAAAAACTTGAAAAAATACATTAATACATAAAAATGGATATAAGTATTTAAAATATAAAACATAACACATAAAAATTCATAAAAAAATATGTAAAATACTTAAGTTAGATGTTGCATATTTATTAGTAGCTTTATTATATATTTGGAATGTTTATAATATTTATTAAACAATGACGATGTCACAAGGGAACATGGAAGAGATGGTAAGGATAGACCTACACATGGGGTCGCACACGATATACAATCGGATTGTCAATCTTGTAAGTTACATGATAGTTTTATAAGTAGCTTTATAATATTTATTATGATATTTGTTAAGTATTAGATATATTAAAGTTTTCAATTTCTAAAATTCCAATTCTATTTTGTAAATCTAGCACAAGCGAAGAATGTGAATGTGTGTGGCAAAAGGATAAACTTAAATTTGTACGATGAGTCTGAAAATAAAAATCGTAAACCTTTGGTTGTGGGAATTGGTATATCCGGGCGGACGAATCGATTTGTCGGGGACAACGGGCAAATGTTTGTCAGACTGATCTCAAATCTGGTGGGATCATAGGTACCGTTGCATTATCATACTTGGTGTCGTGTTCCTACCAAGTACAAAGATGATTTATATCCCGAGCTAGAAGTAAGTATACAATATATTTTATATGTATTGAATTTTACACTTATTAAATATTTTTTTACTAATCAAATATCTTTTTCCTTTTGTAGACTTATTTTGATCTTAATAGGTATAAGGGCACAGACTTGTGGGAACCCCTTCGAGCGGGTATCCAAACAGATATGTAAAGTACTTATCGAGAGTGCATGTATCAGATAAAAAACATTTTGATAGAGTTAATGGATATCATAATGTGGAAAGGGCAAGAAGATGCCTACCGACTGATTGGACCGTCGAAGCTTGGAACAAAATGATTGATTTGTTGTTTTTAACCGATGAATACAGAAGCACATCGGTCAAAAATAATGTTACTAGGTCGAAACTTCCACACACAAGTACTCACGGATGTAGCACCTGTGCTCAACGAAGCTATTTAAAGGTAAAAAAATATATTAGTGTTATTTAAAATTGTTAATAACATTTGTATAAATATATTTATTGCTTTTTCACTTACTATAGGATAAATTGGGAATCAAGCAACATCATATTGAGGGTTGGAGTCAAATGCACTACAATGAATGTTCGGGTTGGTGTACAACTCAAGCACAAGAAGATTAGGTAAGTAATAAATGAAATGAATGTGTTTTTTTAAATATATTATTATTATTAATTATAGTTTTTTGTTTAAGAAATATTATTATTATTTTAATATTTAAATTTAATTATTTGTTTTAATTAACGTATTTTTATAGTTTTCTTCATTTTAAGAGAAAATTCAAAAGGAATATAAGAAAATGCAAAACGAGGTTGGGGAAGGCGGACAAGTAGACGATGAAGAATGTTTAGAACGTGCCCTTGGGACAAGACGAGGGAATGCTCGCAGGGTGGGTAGAGACTAACCACCAACTTCGGTTTAGTTCCAAATGAACGACATTCTACTTCCAAATTGTCTCAATCTCAATCTCAATTTGATGCACAACAAATGCAAGAATACTTGCAACAACATAATGCATCATTGGCGGCATGTATTCTGAACTTCCAACCACCATCATTTCCTAACTTTCTATTCAACTCTAACACACAAGCAAGTAGCTCTCAACAATTTGCCAAAGAAGAAGGGAAAGAAGAAGAAGGAGAATAATACGATGATGATAATGATGGTTGATGTTTTTTAGTATTTTGAAAAATGTGAATTAACTACTTACTGTAATATTAAACTTGAATTTGATGTTCTGAATTTGAAAATTGGTACCTAGTTAATGTAATTCAATTGATATATGCTACTTGAATTTGATGTTCTGAATTTGAAAATTGGTACCTAGTTAATGTAATTCAATTGATATATGCTGCAATGTTATTGGATTTATTAAAAATGCAGGAATTGTAATCTACAGAATCTGTAATACTAAAAAAATAAACCAGTGGCTATGCCGACGACAAGTCGTTGCTATAGGTATTTAATCAACAACTGTGAAAAACCTTCGTAATAGCTTAAACCTATAGCGACGACATGTTGTCGCTATAGGTTTCCCGACGATATGTCGTCGCCACATGTAATAAATAATTTTTTTGAGTAAATTACTGAAATGGTCCTTATGGTTTGGTTAAAATTACTCCCTAACTTTTTTTTTTTGCACTCGGATCGTCCCTGTGGTTTAATTTTGTTGCGCTTTTCCGTCCCTTACATACATAAAGTTAGGGACCAAACGTGCAATTTTGACCAAACC